AGTTATGAAAGAAACTGGGGCATAAAGGTCAATGGTTAGTGAGGCTGTTGCAGAGAAGAATAGATCTGTGATTCACCCGCAAGAGAGAGGACGATAACGATGTGTGGAACACCTGGAGGAACAGTCCAACCGGCCTCCAGCTACTATTCCGTTCCTCGGTATTCAATCGGATCCCAAATTGAACAATGACTTATAACCTTCAGCACCTGCTGATCTTTGGGACTCTGTAAGCGGTCGGAAACGCGGAAGGAAAAGGTCAGATGGAATAGTACGGGAGGCATTAAAAGAGGGTGGTCAATGAATAATTCTCAAGTTGATTGACGTATTAGCTACTGTATAGGAGTCGGGTATGATCCTCTCTGATTGATCTTAATTACTAATTGTCCCAGTCTTCAAAAACACTGAGAAATTCTCGTGTGATAACCACAGAGGAATCACCAACCCAGCGAACATAGTGTCTAGTAGTCTAGGTACTATGAGTATCAAAAGTCTAAGTGACCTGGGGAACAACAAACCCGAGAAAATCAGGCAGGTTCCCGACATGGTCGTGGATGTATCAGCCAGATATTCAAACTCTGCAAGGTTCTGAAACACTGGCACTTGCTGAATTTCTTTACCTGAAGACATCATTCTGCTCTGTCTATCGAAAGGTTTTATGGCGGCGTTCCTCACTGTAAACGGGTGCCGAGTAAGTTCATCACCATATATATATATATATATATATATATATATATATATATATATATATATATATATATATATATATATTATTCTAATGAAGTTATTGGGTCAGCATGTAATTCAATATATGCATCCACGTTTTCCCAGTTTAGGTCATAATCTCCAGCGTTTCCATATAATTGTAGTTTGTTATTTTTGACTGTTTATTGTTGCGGCTTGTCGTTTTAATAATGATCAGTCATCTCTGTGAATGCGTCGTCACATCTAGTTATTGAAACAGTACAGTATGTTCACTTGTATAACTTTTGAATTACTCTTCTTGTATTATTATTAACCAATAAATCTATTTGAATGCTTTTTATTTCACTGTTCTTTGTACGACAGGTACTTTTATATCTCCTTCCTCTTTTTCTTTAGTGCTTCCTTTCATTTTCTCTCATTTTTTCTTGCCAATGTTTTGTTTTTGAATAATATGAATACTTAATTCCTTTTATCTCATAACTACTTTTTTGGTATCCTGTAATTATTTGGATTAACTACAAAGGTGTGACTGACTTTCGTTAATGTGCACCGTTTGTAGCACAAGCGAAGGTGTCTGATTGCCATTTAAAGGTTGAGTATATTGCCTAACCGTGTGTTTCATCCTATAATATGACTATGATGAAAGGCCCATTGAAGGTAAAAAATGGGAAAGCTTTGAGCATGCGACCAGCATTGCCCTAATAACATCATTTATGTATAATGGAATTAAAATACGTTCAGTATGGATGCTTAAGTCTTAATTACAAGAGGTAAGTTATTCGATGCCGCTAACCTTCATTTCCTGAGGTGTTTTGGTCTTCTCTTAA